GGGGGGGCCCTGCCACTCAGGCACTGGAAGTGCTACCTGGTGTGGCTGTGCAGGCCAGGGATCGCATGGGGGCCAGGTCCACACATCTGCTTCCTGAGCATTGGCTGCCACAGGCAGAGGATGGACCCAGGGTTGGCTCGGTCTCCAGACTTCCTGTTCCTTCTCCGTGCCTGTTTCAAAGGACTGAAACAGATAACTCTCCCCTAAAAATGCAAGTGAAGACAAAGAAGCCAGAAGCCAAGAGGTGGCATGGACTAGTGAGCAGAGTCCAGGCTCCGGTACGGTTGTCCGACTGTCACCCACACCAGCCTCATCTCTGTAACTGTGCCCTCTCATGGTCTGGGCCTCCGTTCCCTCCCTGAGAAGTGAGCTAATAACAGCCACTTCACAGGCGAGGCCCTGGCTGAGTGCGCTAACCCAGGAGGAGCATGCAGCACAGTGCCAGGCACAGTGGGTATTGTAAACTTGAGCCCACTGTCTTTCCTCCTCAGAGTGACAGGGTGTGCAGAAAGGCAGGACAGCATCTCCCCTGTGCAGGGTGGAGGAGACGGGGCAGTGCTCTGGCTTCGATCATGGGTGCTCAGGGAAATGGCGTCCACAGGGCGGGACTGTGTGGGCTGCACTCGTGACCTGCCTGTGCTAGGTGGCACCTGGAGCTCAGGATCGTACACATTGCCCACGTGATGCCGTTTCACACACACACCACTCCGAAGGTGGTTTCCCCACATGTCCCTCGCCTTGGAACCTTGAAGCGGAATACCAGTGCTGGCGCCCTTAGCCATGACTTTCCCAGGGCTCTCTTTGGGGACGCCCTTTCAGTGCTTATGATGTATTTGTTGGAATAATCAGCAGAGCTATCTGTCTTTTGCAGACAAAAATAACCTACATAAGTAACACTAACTAAGCTAAAGGGGCTTGTGGACCCCCTGCCTTCCTCCAACTTTTCTTATGCTCCAGAATCCACCCTCAGACTCTAGTACTCATTACTCACCAGACCAGGAGCTGTGGACCCAGAAGCCCTGAGGCGGATGGTGGATAGAGGGCGGAGGAAGATGGCAGCAAGGGAAGAGTTCTGGCGTGGTACCCCAGTCCAGCCCACAGAGAGCTGAGGAAGGCCTGGCCGGGGAGTGGCCCTGAGAACAGTGCGGACTGCTGTGTTGGGGGAAGGCCTGGACTCATAATCCGTTAGAGGGCAAGTGGGGAGAAGGGAGCCTTGAACTCTCTAGCCTGAGTCATCAGGAGGCCAGAGGCAGGCTAGGGCTGGAGCAGCAGTGAGCTTCACTTTAGACACGTGTGCTGTTGAGGGGCCTGTGGGCTGCGTATCTGCGTGCTGGGGGATCTGGTGCTCCAGGTAGGGATGCATACTAGCAGTTGTTTCTCAGCTGATGTTGGCAGCCCAGGCTCAGAGGAGGCTCTAGAATAACACGTGCAGGGGAGAGAAGAGAGGGACCCCAACGTCACTGTGGGGAACACCCACTGGAGGGCATGCAGAGGCCCATGGCAAATGAAAGTAAAGAGCATTTGGACCATGTGCCCTGTTTATAGGCAAATGATGGCAGAGTTTCTTAAAACCTCATAGTTTTTCATCAGTTTGTACAAAATAATCTTGTTGTTGGAAATGATGAGTCATGTTCCTCCAAATGTAGCATTGCCACATTTCTTGCTAGAGATAAAAATGTATATGGCTCTGTCTCTTCACTAAAAAGAATACATTTGTGTTTAAGCAGAAACTCCCTTCTGCATTGAGCTTAAACGCACTCTCTCACTCTTCCTGCAGGAGGTAGCTAAGGTAATAGTCTGCAGTCTGCAGGGGCCCCTGCCTTTCTCCTGTGGGTGGTGGTGCACAACAGAGATTTGTTAGCTCACAGATGCGCGCCTTGAGAAGCCTGTAGGTATGTGGAATGGGGTCCGCAGCCTGGCCCAAGGGCATCTGTAGGCACCTGTGCTGCCGTCCCCTGAAGGGTGATGAAAGGACATGGCCACTGGAGTTCGGTTTGGTCAGAATCAGCACCCCCAAGTCGTCATGAGCACCAGCGCGGTGTGTGTGTGGGCGCCACAGAGGGCCGGGCACCTCGCAGCTGCGCAAAGTCAGCTCCAGCTATGTCCAAGCGCGGCCTGGAGAGGGAGGCTTTTCCCATGGTGACCGCTGCTGTTCCCACTTCATTA